CTGCAGTATGTAGTTAACAATGAATGTTTTGTCCCTAAATTTGTTGAAAGAAACCATTTTCCTTGCCTGGGTTTTTGGTCTTTGATCAAGTCTTTGTTCACTCCTCGCAGTTTGGTATCGTACTTAAGAAAATCGCGCTGCCTCTTCTTTGGTCTTCCTCTTTGTTTTCTCCTTGGCAGTGTTGGTTCTTAGACTTTATTCCGACCTGCTCATCGGATTTTTTCACATCGCCAAACCAGCGGATTTTGCGCTCGTTCAGCTTTTCTGTAACTGGTACCACACCTAACGGGTCTCCTATGAAAGTATTCTGGACGTGATAATTTATGTTGACACCACATATCCATCTCATTCAGCCGAGCACTCACGTTTCTACGAAGTTCAGTTTCTGTTTGTCTTCAGTCTCGTTTACTGAAACAGATGGGGCAGGATAATTGAAGTTGTCGCATCGTTTCCTAATGGCGAAGTTCTTGCTTTTGATTTGAGTGTTCAAACGTGGGCCAAAATTTAAATTTATCGCAAAACGTTTATTACATGGTATTCTAAAAAAGGGTTTCGAATTTAGTAAACGTTTTGTAAGCCTTGCGTGCTGACATAAAAGATTATCGTAAAGACAACACGTTGTCAGATGTTAGACCTTGCTGGGCAAAAAATCCTGCTTACGTATCCCACATAGTTAAAACCTGTTTGTAGTAATGTTCGGAAGATGGAGTATTTCTTTCGTGCGTTGGTGGCCTTACTAAAAAATAACAAAATAGTTTATACACATCGCTCAGACTTATGGTCAGTCAACTGTTCCACACCTACCAGCCACTGCGCACAACAGTAGGACTTTCGAAATCAGTCAGCGGACCTCGTTACCGTGAAGAAGGCTCGTAAAAAGAAACGTCGGTACTGACTGACAGTACTGTTTGCATTGTATAAATGAATCATGTTTTATGCAGTTTTTAATAACTTTCTGAAATGTGCCAAAGCTAGCTCGTTATTTCTGGTTCTAAGCTGTTCTGTTTATGAGGTTTGTAGTTATTCCACAGCACCATCATTAACACACTGGTGCAAGGAAAATTGCTTGTCTAAGTTAGTGTCATTGGCTGTTCTAATTCTTTCGATACTGCAGCTTAAAAGGTTCTGGTGGGTACCCTTGGTTTCGTGTGTCACACTTTAATCAATCATCTTAAATGGACAGTCTTCCCAACGAGTTTCATTTTACTGCCGTAGGTCAGAGTATGTCTCCAACATTTTTTGAAAATCTTTTAGTTGCTTATGAAAGTGAAAGTACAAGTTCGCTGCTTAGACAAGGTCGCGAAATATCTGATTCTACGTTTCAAAACTTAGCTCAAATGGGCTATATTGGTTGTTCCCTGCTGTGTTTATTTGTTACAAGTCGCTGCCTTGTCAACGTTGGTATAGTTTGTTCGAAATTTTCTGATGACCACTTTTTGCATTTTGCAGATGAAAAACCTGTGAAAAGTCGTTAAGGCAGCATCACCTTAGAGATTTCAGTTAACTGCGTCGAACAGTGATTTGGTAGCTTGAGCAACGTTGTTATCCGCAAAAATTTGATATGCATCAATTAGGAAACATGCAGCAGAACAGTGTATAAAGGTTGATTTTCCAGAATGTGTTTTCGATTCTAGGCCCGTGATCCATTAAGAACCATTTTCTTGATGCATAAAAAACTTAAACGTAAAATAATTAGGGAAATGTTTTACTCAACAGTCAACACATTTCGTTGCCAAAACGGGTTCATTTTCTTCTTTGCTTTACGGTTTCCTAACTATGCACGAAGAAACTAATTTTTTCAGAGTTAGTACTAAAATTCATTAATATAAACTCTTCTGAAACTCATTTCAATTCTGTCTTCAGTAAATTGTCAGTTCAGTGGTTCTGTACAAAATCGAAAAGATAGATGGTTAACTTTTTTGGAACTGCCGACTTGACCTTCCTCAGGACCAGCCTGTTTGACATCGTTTTATTGCAAAGAAAGAATGACGTGTTAGCACAGCTGAAAGGTTCCACACATTATATACATGGGCAAGACATTAAGGATCGAATACAGTTTATGACTGAGGCCGAGGTTAACCAGAATATACCATTCCTAGGCGTGCTTGTGAACAGAACATCATCGCTGGAATTTTCCATTTCTTTTTATCAGAAACGACTCGCTCGAACAGATGTTGACACCCAAGTTTTTTGCCCCACTCTTTTCAATGTTGTCGTGAGGAACACGCTTTTACGCCCACAGGAAGCATTCAGCATTGCATCCGCCATAGACGCTGGAATTCGTCATTTATAACACGTCTTCCTTAGTATGGGTATTCCACGAAAATGCTGGATAGTAGACTTCTGCATCCTAGCTGAAGCGATGAAGGCGTGCCAGAGCAGACCTATAGTAGTTTTGCCATACGTACCACGAGTATTTGAACCAGTCAGAAGATATCTAAGTTACACGGGGTTAAGTTCTACTACAAGACCGGCATGGGTTTTCATATGCTTTTATTTAAGAAGATTACCACAAGCAACACGGAGTACGCTTTGAATGTGGTTTACAGCGTCCAGTAATGAGACTGCAGTACGATATACGTTGAAAAGACCTACCGGAAATTGAATTGGAGAACACTCATCCATAGTCCGTCTCAGGCAGACTAATTACTTTGGTATTGCGTAGTACGTCCTTTTTGAGGGGAGCTCCGTCAGTCATACGAATCCATCTGTAATCAGCAAGAATCAGTAAAGGCTTGATAAAAGTCTCTACATATTGGTGATGAAATATCCTATTTGCAACGAATATTTCCTTTCCATGGTGATTACTGAAAGCTGGGGTGTTGTCACGAAATTAGTTAAAAGTTTTGAATGATCTAATAAGTGATTGAGATTAAATTCTAAAATTTTAGGTTATGAATGTGATGGCTAAATCCGGTATCAACGTGCCACTGACTTTAAATCGAGATATTTTGCAAACATAAGGCACCTGTCTGCTTGATAATCAGTTGTTCCCCGACTATGCTACGGCGTAGGTAGCGGAACCCGCTAATAATAAAATGTTAACATTTGTTTTATTTGGCACCTTCAGC